GACCGGGAGCGGACAGCGGGGACCAGGAGTGGACAGCGGGGACAGCGGGGACCGGGAGTGGACAGCGGGGACCAGGAGCGGACAGCGGGGACCGGGGAGCGGCAGCGAGAAGGGAGAGGGAGGCCCAGGCGGTGCTTCCCAGAGGCCCACCCCTCACTCCCCGCTGGTCTGCGGGCTGAGCACGGAGAACTCCTCCGGAACTGACTGATTCATGGTGCGGCCATAGAACCTACGAGAACCCTCCCCTCCGCCCGCCGCATGCTGTATTCCTGACCGGCTGCTGGGCTCGAAGGGGCTGGACCACGGCAGAGTATTAAGGACGAAGTGGTTACAGAACAAGTCCGGCGCCGCCGTGGGGGTGTGAGAACGGAACCGTGATGCCCGGCGCACAGCGGGCACCCAACGGTCAGTCAGGACATTGACCTGGAGAAAAGCCCATCCACACCCGGCCCACAGGGGCGTGTCTGTCCGGAGGAGGTAACGTGACGAGGACAGAAAGATCAGTGGCTCATTTTGAAAGCCGGCAGGTGAAACATGGCGTCCACAGCCATGCATGTGTCTAAGTCAGGTACCGATACAGAAATACGTTGTTCATTTTTAAAATGTTATGAAGAAATCTGTGCCCGGCCGGTGTGGCTCAGTGGCAGAGCGTTGACCTATGAACCAGGAGGCCACCGTGTGATTTCAGGTCAGGGCACCGGCCCCGGTTGCAGGCTCGATCCCCAGGTGGGGTGTGCAGGGAGCAGCTGATCCGTGATTCTCTCATCACTGGTGTTTCTATCTCTCTCTCCCTCTCCCTTCCTCTCTGAAATCAATAAAAAAATATATTTTTTTAAACTTTAGTAAAAAGTTTAAAGTTGCAAAGTACATACACACAGCTTTTAAAGATAAAATACACGACACCAGCGCCCTCCTCACAGGAACAGCCTGGGGACCACCAGCCGCAGTGGCATGGGGTCGGCAAGCTCTCTCCGCAAAGGGTCAGTTTGCAACTTTGCAGACACGAGCCCCTGTCCTGTCACAGCTCCTCCACCTGCCGGGTCGTGGGGAAGTGGCCACAGATGGGACGTAAGTGACCCCAGGACTGGGTTCCAATCAGACTGTTGACAAAAGCACGCCCCAGCCGGGGCTTGCCACAGGCCATCGCCAACCTCTGCTTCCCCCCGAGCCCCGGGAGGGCTCCGCCGTAATCCGGAGCGGCCCGCACTCTGCCGCAGCCTGACCCCGGCTTCAGGAAACCCTTTCCGGACCCAGGGGAACAGCCTCACTGTCCCTGCATTCCAGGCCCCTGTCCGCCAGGGCTCAGGCCGCGCCCGCCACCTCGTGGTCACAGGGAGGAGCAGCGCCAGGTCCCGGCCACACAGCTAAAGGCCCAGGGCTCAGGGGTCACACACATCCTGCAGGTCTGACTGGGCCACGGCCCGACAATGACCACAATGATGTCACAAGTCAAGGCCGTCAACAGTAAAAAGGCCTGATTTTCGGAAGCTTCGGCCCCGGAAGCCTCCCCGAGTGCCCGGGTGCTGCCTACACTCAGATTTTGAAACTGAAGACTTTTTTTTTTAACCCAAGTTTTTAAAAGAAAATAAATTCAAAACCTCAGCCTACGAAATGGAGCCCAACTCCAGAATGGGGTGGTCGGGACCCTCTCACCCGGGAGCCCCCAGAAGAAGACAGGCCAGCGGAGGGGACAGGCCACACGCAGACACACCTGAGGGACAGGTGATGGGACAGGGTCCCGTACAGGCCCCTCTGGGCGCCCGGGGATCCAGAGCAGGGGGCGCACCCCGGGGCCCCAGGAAGGCCTCCTGGGCAGGAGCATTCACGCAGCTCCCCCTGGAGGGAAAGTGTCCCCTGGAGGGAAGGTGTCCCCAGGAGGGAGGGCAGCAGGTGGGGCGGGCAGGGCTCACCCTCGGGGACTCTGAGGCAAACACGCCAAGAGACAAGAAGACCAGCCCGAAACGGTTTGGCTCAGTGGATAGAGCCTGCGGAATGAAGGGTCCTGGGTTCGATTCCAGTCAAGGGCATGTGCCTGGGTTGCGGGCACATCCCCAGTGGGGGGGTGTGCAGGAGGCAGCTGATCGATGTTTCTCTCTCGTCGATGTTTCTAACTCTCAGTCCCTCTCCCTTCCTCTGTAAAAAATCAATAAAATATATTTTTTTAAAAACTTAAAAAAAAAAAAGAGGACCAACAAGGGTCGGAGCCCCATCTACTCGGGCATCAAGTGTCCTCTGTCGCTCAGGAGCGGGCATGGGCTGCGGGGCTGGGGTGGGACGTGGACAGTGGGGACGTGGACAGCAGGGGTAGGGCTCACAGCCCCAGCCCCTCCCGTGGTTCCTGGCACTTCCGTGTCCCTATCTCGGTCCACAGCCCCGAGGCGGCGGCCTCTGTCCACTCGTCTTTCTCCAAAACGACCGGCAAGAGCAGCAGGGGGGACGCCCTCCACGTGGGGCAGGCAGGAGTGTGGCTAAACAGTCCTCCCCAGAACAGGAGCGCCTGCCCGCGGCAGCTCCACAGGAAGCGCAGGCTCCGCCGGCTCCTCCCCACACCCCGTCCCTGCAGCCCCCCGTCCCTGCAGCACCCCCCCGTCCCTGTAGCACCCTGTCCGTGAGGCACGGAGCAGCGGCATCCCTGTCGTGGGTGCCCCAGCTCCTCACACGGCCACACACTGCAGGTCACAGCCTTACCTGGGCTGCCGGGGAGGAAGGCGAGGGGGCTCTGGCCGGGCTCGGAGGGGCCGTCGGCACGGTGGGGCGGGCTCCCCAGCAGCAGGGCGCCCCCCTCCAGCTCGGGGCGTGTCCGCACCAGGAGGCCCAGGCTGGGCTGCGAGAGGAAGTCCCTGAGGGCCGCGGGGCTCAGGGTGGCGGCCACGCGATTGTTGATCTCGAGAATCTCATCTCCCACCTTCAGGCCTGCAACGTGATGGAAAAGCTGAGTTTCACACAGAGGCAGCGGCACAGCCAGGGAGGGGGTGGGGGAGGCTGCACCCCAAGTCCTGCCGCACAGACGGTGCCCCGAGGGGGAGCAGGTGCAGGGCCCCGGGCCCGGAGGCTCCAGGCGTGGGGTTGCCTGCCCTGCCCAGCGCGGCCCTGGCCTGAACACCATCTGGAGAAATCTACTCCCCGAGTCTGTGGGCCCCAAGCGCCTGCCAATGTCTCCCCACAAACGCTGAGTCGAGGGGAACAGAGACGCGCCCTCCGGTCACTGTGTGGATGCCTGGGCCACACCTGGGGGCGTGAGGGTCGTCCCCGCGTCTGTGGGCCCGCACACAGGGCGCTGCTCCGCGGTGGCAGGGAGGCCGGCCTATGGCAAGCACATCTGGGGACGAGGGTTCACGGAGTCGCTATGATCACTTTCTGCTGTTTTGTGTTTTTTTGTAACCACATCAGGGCCTCGTGGAAAGTCCCTGAAGAGGCTGCTGCCTTTGAAAGCAGGTGGGAAAGCGGCCCACGTTCGGGGCCCAAAGGAGCAGCCGGGCCTCGGAGAACAGAGTATGAGAGGGCGGGAAGCACGAGGACCGGTCAGCGGGAAGGAAGTCTGGTGAGAAGG